AACACTAAAAACTGCTACAGCAATGGGACCCAAACATCACTGTCACCTGCTCAGCATCTCACAGTCCTGGCTACTGGGGCTGCTTTGCCAACTTGGCTGCTTAAGTGGGAAAGCCCTGAACACACCAGGGCCCTGTAGAAACTACAAAAAATTCTAGCTCCACTTGCCAGCAAGTTTCCAGCCACTGCTTCCCTACAGCACCCTGGCTCAGGAACTGCCATGCTGTGACAGAACTGCCATGGTAGCACAGGAAAGCACATCTCCATTACGTGTGACTGGGAACAACTCCAGGGCAGAGATCCTGTGTTTCCTGGATTCACACTCTCCCTAGTTAAACTGGTTCAAAGCTGTACTTTGCCCCTTGCCTTCAAGTCTCCATCACACAAACTCTTTAGCAGAGACCTTTGATGTTTGCAACAGATTATTCACATTTTATAATCAGCCAGCACTGTTTCTAGGAGGGAGGAAAGCACTTGTTTTGTTGATTTTTTTTTTTTTTACTTTTTCTTTTTAAAATAAAGCACTTTTTGGGGAGAAAAAAAAATCAAAACCTATTAATAACCTGCAGTAGCATCCCACTGATCAGACTGGGGACAGCATCGTCACATCCCTCCCCCTCCCTCATCTTCCCCTCAATCTCCAAAAATAGTATTTAATATACAGCAATAAACTCTGAGCAAGCCAGAGTCCCGGAAGACATGGACCTGCTTTCACCTCTCCCATCCAGCCGAGCATCTTTCAATGCTACTACACTCCTAGGACAAATCCTTTTGGATCCAAGGTGAATGCACACGCCCCAGACCCGCTGGGCAGCGCATGAAGCAGGGGTGCAGCCTATTCGTGTGATCACGTTTCTGAGCCTTCACAGCTCCAGCCTGGTGGTGAGTTTGTGCTGTTGGGAATACTTGTCTGAGCCCATTTGGGACCAGCCAGTGAGGACAGACTGGTGGAACCAGGCCAGTGTTTAAAAAAACAAAAGCATCCTTGAATTGTATTAGGCTTTGGCATTTGTTGTGGAGATGCAGAAGTGCCAGTAGGTAAATTAGCTCAGTGCTGGCCCAGCTCCCATTTCTCTTGGATTCTCAGCAAGGATATTTCCCTCCCCACCACAAGTGCAAGAAGCAGACAGATCTCTCCCACATTTGAGCACCAGAGCCTGAAACACCTGGTACTTCACAGCTGCTCAATCTCTCTCACATCAAGGGCTGAAGCTGCTCTGATGATCCTCTCCCTCCTCCTGCTGTTTTCCAGCAGCAACAGGCCTGCTCAGCCCCGAGTTCCCATACCAAGACACCTTCCTGGCTGTTGCAATCCCATTTCAACTTAAAGGTAGGCCCAGGGAGAAGGAATTGGTTCCCTGCTCTCTGTTCAGACCTAAACAGCACAGGGGAAGTCCTCAGTGAGTAAATTTGGGGTGCAGGACCCCAAAGCCCCACTCTGCACCCAGATGCTGCAAGCACCATATGACTACCAGGACCCAGCCGTGACTCACTCAGCTCTGAACTGCACAGACACACAGGCACCAGACTGTCTGGAAGTTCTCCATCCTGCCTTCAGGAGATTTCTTGGGGAGCCCAGACCTGAAGGAGCTCTTCCAGTTCTTCGATCCCCTGCTAGGCCTTTCTTCCATTGACCTCAAGGGCTGGAACCAAAGATACTTGCTCAGAGTTCTCTGTTTCAGCTGTGACCTCCGGAGCTGGCATCCAGGGAGACAGTCCCCAGATGATCTCAAGGGCAGGGAATGCCTGTCCCTTGGGGAAAAAAAACCAACTCAGAAGCTCCTTAAAAAAAAAAGAAGCTCCTTCAAATAGACTTTTATTCAAAGCCTGAGACAAAGGCACCAAAAAGAGAAGGGAATTCATTTGGCTTTCTGCTCACTGCCACCTGGGACACTCAAAAGGGTCAGAGATGTTTAATCACACACACAGAATGGGAAAATGGCCTAGCTTAAAGGAGGGACTGATGGGACAATTAAAACAGGCTTTGAAACCACTACACTGAGGCTGGATCCAGGCCTGAAACATGATCAAGGTGTCATCTTCCCTTTATTAAGTGGAAGCTTTATTAAAATTGCCTTATCTGCTCCTCTCTACACAACTGCTCCATGAATCAACCCAGGGTCTGTCCTGACCCAGCTCCCCACACTGCTGCACTCCATGTGCCTGCTGCTGGCAGGAGCAACCAGCACAAACAGGCCTGTCTCTAACCTTAGTTAAACAATGTCTTGGATATTCCCTCAAACACCCATTCTGGAAAGCTACAGCCAGCCCAAACTTTTTCTTTCCCTGGTCAGGACAGACCGAGTTCCTCATCACACCAGTCTGTCTGGCTTGCAGATACTAGACAGAGATGGCAAGGGGAGACAGAGTACATCATTCCCAGCAAGGTGCTGACTAGTCATTCCCTACCATCCTCCTGTGCTCCCACATGCCTCGTTTGAAGGCTCCTTTGAGGCAAACCTGTCAGGAGAGGAAGGACCAACAAGGAAACTGCTCCTAGCACCTTAACAGGGTCAGGAACCACCCAGACACCAGCTTGGTAGTGACAAAGATGCATAAAACCAGAGTCAAAACAAGTATATTGAAGCCACAAGGAAAAACTATTCCTCCTCCCTATTCATATTCAAATAAGACAGATTCATTTGAACTGAGCAACTGGAACACAACAGATCACACTCTGCACAGCTTTGCCTTGGGGCAGCTGATGGCACCAAATGGGTGCCCTGGCTGCTAGGAGAGGCACAAATAAACTATCCTAGAAGACTTGTCTCCAACTTTTGCACATCAAATGCACACCCCTTTTCCCATGCTAGGCAAGGTGCAAAGATTACCCGGTGAGCCACAAGCTGAGTGATTCCTTGCTACAAGGATGCTCAAATAAAATGCAGCCTCAAAGGCCTGGAGGAGAACAGCTCCTTACAGAGACGCTTGCTTTCAACCCCAGGTTCTTTGCTTAACAAATCAGCACAGTTCATGCTTCTCAAAATTGATAAAGATCTAAATGTCTCTGTGCTCCAGTTACAGCAATCCCCAAAACGCTGGAGAATCCCTGCAGGCACTGTCACCAAACAAACTAGAGCTCATATTTTATAAGAGTTTTTAAGTATCAGGATTTTAAGAGCAGCTAGAAGACAAAGTGGACAACTTCAAGCTTACTGCCTTTTCATCCCAAGGTTTGTTTCTCATGATCTGCAATCTCTACAGCCTATCTTCTCCTTTAACTGGGGCAGGGATGCTCTTGCTTCTCCCAAACTGACTGTTACCACTTGTGCAGGTAGAAGAAAGAAGGTAGTTAAGGTCCTACTGCTTGCTTTTCAGCTCACAGACATGGAATTAGGGTCAGGCCCATAGCAGTGATGTGTATGATCAGAAAGGCAATGTTCAGTGGCACTGCTGCAGGGAGCAGTGCTTTGTCACCTCCCCCAGCTCCCACTCTGCAGCCCCTGAGCTGACAGCTCCTCTCACAGCTTGAGGGTTAGGAGGAAGTGAAGGCTTCAGCTGCCAGGGCCCAGCAGAACAGAGAAGGCTGCTCTTCCAGTTCCCTTTCCAGAAACTAGGTAATTCTGCTGACCCTGCCCAGCTCAAAGAAAGGCTGAGCCACTGCAGGGGATCAAACTCAGGAATAACTGCTAGGAAAATGCAGGCCCAGATAGGCAGAGCAGCACAGAGGTCACTGCTCAGTGCGACTGCTCTGGGGAAAAAGAGAACACTTCTGAGAGCAACAGAGAGAGCATGAGGTAAAGCATTCCGTGAGCCCAGAGCTCAGCAGCATTGAAGCTGACCTGCAAGGACCCAACTTTGCCTGGCACAAATCCTGCTCCTGCACACAGCATCTCCCTCCTGCCTGCCAGAAATGCTCAACATATTGGAGGCCAAGACCGTGGGAAGGCTCCTCCTTGGGGCCTGCAGCTCTGGATCAGCAGATGCAGCAACGGCTTTTGCTCTGCTCAGCCTCTGTCAGGCAGGCACAGGCTCTGCATGTGGAAACAGAAGCCTCTTGCAGGAATATCCCTGGGGGAAGAGGGTGACCTTGTCTCCAGTGTTCTGCTCACTTCCAGATCTCTGGATGGCAACAAACCACCTTGCTCTACAGCACTGCAATGCTGGACATCTGCCCCTTCACTATAGTGCCTAGGTATGCAAAAGGCCAAGCTCACTGCAAACACTGACGAGCTTCACTTCTCACTGCTGCAGGCAGGCCTGGTCCCCACACAGGCAATGAGCTCACGGGAAGTATCTGCCAGGTTGCTCTGCTCTGTCCTACGGCACAGGTTGCTCAGAGTTACAGGGAAGGGAGTTAACCGTTTGGAAGATCAAGGAACAAGTCCTGAACCTCCCCTCTAGGCCACCTGATTCTCAGCTTCTTCCAAAGGAGAGGTCACTTGCTAGAAAGGGCAAAACAAGGAACTGAGCTTAAAATGAAAACTTCGAAAATAAAAGGATATTAAAGGAAACAAAAGCCATAATCAATACAGAAAACAAGTGCATCTGATCAGATGCTAACAATGTCAGCCTCTCGCAGGCTACAGCAGAATCCCTCTGCGACGGAACAAACATTGCAATTGCCAAACTAGGAAAGTCTCTCCCAACTGGTGCAGCAAATCAGGTCAGATAAATCCCCCTGCTCCTGGCACAGCTTGCAGTCTTATGAGGGGAACATTTCCACAGAGGCTGGGCAGCTAGCTGGAGCCTTGGTATCTTTATGCAGGCGAGTACCATACATCGTGTTGCACACATTCGGGGAGATGCTGAGCCAGGCTCTGTCCTCTGTAGTTGCTTGACACCCAACAGCACCACAACACTTCCACGCTCCCAGACGTGTACCCAGGCCTTGTCTCAGAGCTGCTTCCCTGCTTAAGGAACCGTATTCCACCCAGTAAAGGCAGAGATCTGGCAGCACATGGCTACCTCTGTGTGGCACGTGGCCCAGGACTGGTAGCATCAGCTTTCAACGGCCCAACTCACAGACAGCCAGGACTCAGTTCACTCTTGGATGTCCCAGGGAGAATCAGAGGCTGCACATGGTGCGAAGGGGAAGGCGAGGGCCTCGCTGCTTGCTGGCAGGGGGAAGGTAAGCTCTCTCTTACCTGGACCTGCTATTCATTGCTATTCATTCCAAATGAATCATCTTTTTTTTTTCCTTAAATTATGAACAATATGGAGAAATTGAAAGCAACCGTTGTTTGGTCCAACTCCTTCCCTCCCAGCCCCTTGGCTGATGCACTGTGGGGCTTGCTCTCACAATCGGCAGAGGCAGAAGAGGGTAGGAATGAAGACACCAAAGGCCACCAATATAGGAAACATGAGGCTGCTGTTGTCCGAGGCATAGGGGTTTGGTGTGCGTGGGCCTGACTGAACCCGGTTCTTATTTGCCTGTTTTTTGACACTGGAGCCATCATCATATTCATCTTCGTCATCATCTTCCTCTTTTTTCTCCAGACCTGGGTGTGGCTGCAGCTTTGGAACATCTGTTGGACAAGACAAAAGGTTGCAAGGAGGCAGGATGTAAACTGGGAGATAGCTCAAGACACTCCCTTCCCCTCTCCCTGATCCAATATGAACATGGGCAAGAAGGCACTGGACATCGAACCACAACCAGTACACCCCAGAAGAGAGGGTATCCTCCCTCACAGAGTATCACACCACTGTTTCTTTCCTCCAGGAGGTAAGAGCATTCAAAGACCCAGCCTGCAAAACAAACTACCTCCCTCCACCACATCTAAGTGTCACACAGGAGAAGTCAATGCACAAAAGCACACTTAGAGCACACAGTCAGATACTGCAGCTCAGTGAGATCTAGTGAAGAGCAAGCAGCCACTGCCTGTGGGACCAGCAAGTAAAGATGCAAACAGGAATGGGAACAACCTTTTCCCAAACAGTCCCACCCCACATCACTGCACCCTCTAACCCCAGAGCTATCAGCAGTATGGCCCAACCCCATGCAAATCCAGCCCCCTCTGAGTCTGAGGCCTGAACTGCAGGTCCTTCACTTAACAAAGTGCCACCTGGCCACAAGGTTACATACCAAATCTTCAGCAGCACTTGGCAAACCCTAACTCACAGTAAAGCAAACTGATGCTCTGGTCAGAGAGGGAATTGAAACTCACCCTGTTCAGGAGCTTAGAGGGGCTGCAACTCCAGCACATTTACAAAAAGGGCAGTGAAAGAGCAAGAACTGTTCCAGTATTCCCCACTGCTATCCAAAGGAACTGGTATCAGAGAAAAAGTACTGCCTTATCCTCAAGCTAAGGAGGCAAAACAAAGCTCCAGGTAAGAATCACTTAACTACTAACTAAAATAACTCCATGAATTACTTGTCTGCAGGGCTGCTGCTGACATCCAAGGCCAGAGGGAATTTATCTGTAGCTATAAGCTAAGACTGACCAGATGTGTTCACTTCTCCTCTACTCCATACGCAGGAAGTTCCAAACCAAATAGATTTTTCTCATTCCAAGATGACACAGCTTTCTAACTTGGAGGAGAAGGACACTACACACCTACTTTACTCTGCAACTGCACGATGCAGGAAAAAAACAGATGTGGGTCAGCAAGAGCTATGATCTCATAGTCTGAGAAGCAACAGGCTGCTCTCCAAGGGGGAAGAACCTTCTGGCTCAAAAACTGTGCTTACCTTCCACTGTTCCTTGCAGGATGTATAGGGCACAGATTTTCGGATTGTCATAGTAGCCCTAGAGAAAGCAAAGGTGGCAGTCAGTGCTGCAGCTCTGAAACAAGAAATGGTCTCCCCACCAACCCTCTCCTCCTCCAGCTCACAGCTGCACCACGTGGCTGGGGAAGAAGGGGAAAAGGAAGATCAGGGCACTGCCCAAAAAACCTTTATTACCTTTACAAACTCAATGTTGAGCTTCCCTGTGAACGTGGAAACCTCTCCTTGAACACTCAGTTTCCCCTTTTTGATACTCATGGGAATAATCTCATCGTGTGCCGTGCTGTGTCCAACTCTGTCAAAAATGTCCAAGTCTTTCACCACCACATGGCCATTCAAGCGAACATCAAATACCTTCAGGGTGGAAGAAATGACAGTGTCAGAAAGGATTCAGGCGTGTGATGGCTGAAATGGGAACAGAACAGGAAAGGTCTCTGCTTGTTATGTACCAGGACCAGAAAGCATTGTAACATGCACTGGCCCACTCCCTGGGGAAGGACTCAGAGCCCCAAACAGCCAGGTAAAGACACTGAACTACTAACACTGTTTGCAAATACCCTGAATCTGCCTCCTCCTTTAAAAATACCCCCTACATCTGCTGTTCAGAACTGAGGACAACACAATTATATTCTGGTTTAATCATGCTTTTCTTTCACAACTTTCTTTCCACCTCCTGTCTGAGGACCTGCTCCTACCACCCCAGGGGTGGCTGTGGCACACCACACCCTAGGGAGTGAAGCCATTTCTAACTAACAGCCTGCAGCAGAACAGAGAAGAGGAAACAAGCTGGTGAAGAACACAGAGTTTGAAGAAGGTAAAATGTTTAACTGCTAACCACATCTGTGAATTCAGAGTGAAAGTCCTCCTCAGGGCTGCTATGACTCAAACTTCACTCAGCACCTGGGGAATCCCAGCACAACCACATGAAGGAAGAAGAACCGAAGATGCCTCAGCCTTTCAGTTTAATCTGAGGTTGCTTTTTGCATTCGTTCTGTAAGCCAGCCCCACCAGTTCTGCTCCCTGAAATACTTCTCTGGCAGGAAGGCAGCACAGTGCTTAAGAAGATCAGCTCTAAAGAAGCTGATGGAGTCAGAGGAAAGCCAGACTAAAACACAAACCACTTCTACCCCAACTCATCACAGGACTTTGAGCCCTTTGTGCTTCTGTTTCCACCTCTGTAGAAGAGGGATTTCAAAAGTGGGCAAGGATTATTCTTCTCTAAAGAGCAATAAAGAGTGTGAATTTAATTCTGTACTTTCAGGTCAGATTGAACCAGTATCAAGTCTCATTATTCACAAAAATTGGTTTGAGTAGGTTATTTAACCCAGAACACTTTCCTGCTTCAATCTGTGCAATAGCTCCTCGAGCACAACCATGCTGTCAGGTCAGGAACAAGGAAAAAAGACTTCTCAAAGCCAGCACAGCCTAAACAGGTCATGAAACTCTATTCTAGTTATGTTTAATTGCACATGTTTGTTTGAATACTCTGAAATGCAGTTTTCCAGGCTGACTGTAGAGCTCTCTTCCACAGTCCAGCTGTAAGTTTCAGAGCCCATGAGAGCTATAGGAACTAAGTTAACCATTAGTGCCTTAGTTCAGCCTTTCCTCCAGCATGCAAAGCAGAAGATGCAACTTGGCCACAGACAGTCTTAGCCAGGAACTCGCATCAGAGACACACAAGGAGCTGTTGCTTACCTTCTGTTGAGACTGTGCAAAATAGACCTCTGCAAACTTCAACACCAGCACGTAGTCACCCTCCTCTTTGATGGGAACTTCATAGCCAAACGTTTCCTCATTGTAACGCTCAGTCTGGTACAGGATCTGGTCTTCTGCGTTGGACCGCAAGATGGGCAGCTTCATACCGTAGTCGGAAGCTGTGTCAATCACAGAGGAGTGAGAGGAAGGGTTAACTTCTGAGGCACATGGAAGCCACACTTTATATACTCCTGAAGTACTTAGCTCCATCAGTGGCATTAGCACTTAGGCCCTGTCAGACCTGTCTCCCCGTGCTGCTCTGACCAGCTGGAGGGACTACTGGAGAAGAAGCAGAGCTAGGCAAAGCCCCAGAGCCCAGGTCCTGTAGGAAAACAGGTTTGGACCTGCTGCGGTCTAAGACACAGTAAACTCACTCACATAGCTGCAGAGAGAAGAGCCTGTTTCACACAGAGGGCACAGAGTTGAAGGACTCAGTCACTGGCTCTTGCTTCAAAGACAAAAGACACTTAGACTATCTTTGCAATAGTTTCAAAGCACAAACTCTAAGCACATTATCTAAAACAGTCAGCACAGGACTGACTTAACTCATTGTCTAAACAGATTTTAAGCCAACAGTCAGTGGCATCAGTTTTTAGAGACTCACCCCCGTCACGTGAAAACCTGGGGGATGGCAGAAGGATGAAAAGCATTAGGCATCTTACAAAGCCCCTTCTCAGCACAGCCCTGCAATATCTGTCATGATGATAAGAAGGAAGCAAGATACACAAGGGTTTCAGGAGCACCAGCAGCTCCATCAGCTGCTCTTCCCAGAGCCACCCAAATGAAATGGGCACTTTCCGCAGGCATCTGAACAGCCCCCTGAGAAGGGCCTAAACAACATTCCCAAACAGGACAACAACTGACAAAGCAACAGAAATCATAAAATTTGCCTCTTCTCAGTCATTTTTTCATCACCTCTAGAGCAGCCCTCAAAAGACTTTAACCCAGCTTGATACTTTATTGTGTCAGGGTTACTGTACAAATGCAAACTGATGCAATGCCTCCAGAGATGTGAATCAAGTAATTCCCCAGTGAAGCAGGGGCAGGAGGGAGGACTGTGGACACCATCTGCCCACTGGCGCTTCAGGCTGGATAAGTTGATCCAGACGAAGTTCTCTGCTGACACTTACCACTTCCACCCCCATTTCCATGGGAACAGACACTGCATCGGCCAAGACAAAGCAAGAACTACTAACCCAGTGCACGTTGCCAAAGACAGAGCCAATGCAAACGAGTGAGAGGAAATTAATGCCAGTTCTTAGTCTCCTGTTTCACACAGAGCTGCTCAGGCAATCTTCTGCTTCTCTTTACCACTTGAACCTGAGCGCAAAGACTGAAGACTCTAATCACCAGAAATACAGAGGGTGAAAAGTTTAACCTGTCCTCCCACACAGGTATTTCTGGCCAGCTACAGATTACAGTGATAGCAAACCAAGGACTCCACAGAAGTCAGCTCTTATTAGAGGAAAGCCTGCATAGAAAGAGAGTCCTCTAATGACCAAGAAGGTAACTGGAGAGGAAGACCTGTCACCTGCGTATCAGAGGTGTGCTGACAGAGCTGTGGAGTGAGCTTGGTTTCACAGTGCACTGGGTGCTCACTGGGAGCAAGCAGTGCACATTCAGCTGCAACTCAACTATGCTTGGCACCTGCCTATTCTGTAATTGCCATCAGCACAGTCAGTCCTTCAGGGCATGGCAGCTGAACCGAGGCTTGAAAAAAAAGCTTTTAATTTGCTCAGAGGCAGTACAGCCTTTGCTATCCCTAGGTCATTTCCTCCCAGTCAGCCATATATTTCTGCTGGAGACATTACATGCCTATCAACACAGAGAGAAGCCCAGAGCCAACGAACAATGGTGCAATAAAAACCCATTGAGGGAAAGGCAGCTGAGAGCTCAAAGGGGTAAAGTCTCCACTGTGCCTGGCACCACTGGCTGAAGCAGGATTACTGTAACAGCCTGCTGTTCAGAGGAGACACCACAGCTTTCCCCAAAGGAAGAGCATGTCACAATGTGCTTGAAAAAAGACCCTTTTTTCTCTCTGACTCATAAATAGTTTAAGTTCACAAGCACATTCAAGTCACACATGTGAGAGGTCTACAAAAGGAAGCTGACCTACAGTAGTCATGGCACCTTGTGCAACTGGGGCAGCAGTTTCCATGGGTGTGAAAGCCAAACTGTACTAGAATTTAAATGTGACCTCCCCTGTATCCACTGTGCACAAAAGGCTCTCCATTCAGGATGGCACTCATGCATGTAAGCAATGGCAGTTCCAGCTGCAGAGCACAGGAAAATCCTCACCATCCTACATAGAAACAGCAAAGGTTAGACTCAAAAGTCAACAGATAACTCATCTTCTCCACACTTCACCACTCACCTGTAGCTGACAGCAGGAGCAGCTCAGCACAGCTGAGCTGTACCATACATTTGTGAATCAACTAAGTGCAGCAATTATCAGAAATATGGCCAGTTCATAAAACTGGAGTGGTTTCAGGGGAAGTAGGAAAAAGCAATCCAAGTGCAACATTAGTTCACCATCCTGTCCTAGCCGACGGACTGAAGATTTCAGTGATCGGTAGTTAGAGCAGCTGATGATCTGCCTCTGCTTCTGAGCACCCTGACAGGAGAGGGGCACGGAGCAGCACAGCCAGCGGCACCTTCCAGCGGCGGCCGCA